ATATATATATATGACAAGGCTTTAGTTATTTATGCTTATGTAATTTGTAAACCCATTAATCAAATTTGTCAAACACTATGTTTGACAGCAACTAAAGAAAGAGACCTATTAAATACTCTTATTGCTTTCTTATTTCCTAATGAGCAATTGAACGTTGCAGGCAGAATTGCCGATGCCAAGAAAACCTCTACAGTTGGCAGAAAAAGGAAAGCTGCAGCTCCTGATGCAAAAACCGGAAAGGTTTCTGAATCTGCAGGCTCTCCTGTTTTCACCCGCTGGCTCCTGAAGTCTGAACCCGAGAGCCGCTTTGAAAACGGCGTCGACGTGAAGGTACAGAAAACAGCATCACCTTCTTCAGAAACGAGAGGAATTGTGGTCCTTGACTGAGCGTTTGACATCCACGCTTCATTTGTTTTCAGTTTGGCATCGAGGATCTGAAGGCTCTGCCTGATCAGACCAGCTGCTGGGACGGCGTCCGCAACTACCAGGTGTGTTGAGTTGATTATTTAACTCCACTTTTATTTTGGAAAACAAAACTCTGAGGACAAGAGGAAATTTGTGTCTTCAGGCTCGTAACTTCATGAGGCAGATGAAAGTGGGGCAGCAGGCCTTCTTTTACCACAGCAACTGTAAGGAGCCGGGGATCGCAGGGATCATGACAGTGAGTCACTCTAATCCTGGTGAAGCATTAACAAAAAAAAGTATTCAGACCCCTGGAACAGTTCTGTGTTTTTTTTTTCTCCTTTCTATAATAACAAAATTTAATGTATTTTATTAAGACCAACACAAGGTAGTGCATAATTATGAATGGAGTCGAAAGTTATTCATGGTTTTGAGAATCTTTTACAAATATAAACCTGAAAAGCATCTTAGCGGGGTCAGAGCATCCTTAAACAGCCTTAAAGTAATTTATGTAAGTTGAAGGCCTTAAAATGTCTGAAATTTACTAAAGAAAATGTTAGTTGTCCTTAAATAAATGAATCACAGATTTTAAATTGTGTTGTGGTGGGACTGTTTAATCTCATATTTAGGATTATTCTCGTAGAACTTTTCTTTAAGGCAAAACTTTGACATCTTGAATCACTGATTCTATGACTCAAGGTCACCCGCTGCTAATACTTGCTAGATATTGTGCATAGTTTACTTGTTAGCTCTTTTCTGGCTAGCAAGCAAACAAACAAGCAGTTAGAAACTAGCATATGAATACCTAGCTAGCTTGTCAGCTAACTAGAAAGCCATATGCCTTTTTCATTCTGTGAGAAGCACAATGCTGCTGCCAAGAGCCACAAAAAGATATCGGAAATTTCACAGTTTTGGTCCCCTGCATTTTTTTTGTACATCTCTCATGATGTGGATCTTAAATTTCATTCATAATGGTCTTCAAAGGGTCTTAAAAAGTCTCAAATTTTTAAAGTCCAGTGCTGCTAATTGGTCACCTAATTTGTAAATGCAGTGTTTTAGATTTTTATTTCATTTGTTATCAAATTTGGAAAAACCCATAAATCGTTTTTCCTCCACAATTGTGGTGTATGATCACGTTGGTATGACGTGTGAATCCTTCTGGGAGGTACTGTAGGTTTGATGCTCAGCCCTGTTTCCTGGATCAGATCGTGAAGGAAGCCTACGTGGACCACACCCAGTTTGACAAGAAAGACGTTCACTACGATGCGAGCAGCACGCCGGACAACCCCAAGTGGAGCATGGTACGTTAGGAAAGCGATCCATTCGCCGGCCGGTTATTAATAAAGATCCCGCTTCGGAGCTGAGCTTTGGGTTCCCGGTCCCTCAGGTGGATGTTCAGTTTCAGAGAATGATGAAGCGTTTTGTTCCTCTGTGGGAGTTGAAGGAACACCACCTCCAGCACCGGGCCAACGGAGGACCTCTGAAGGACGTGGCTCTGTTCACCAGGGCCCGGCTCTCCGTTCAGCCTCTCACTCCAGGTCTGTAAGAACCAGTCATTGTGTTTTTGTGTCACAGTCCCAACCTGGTTCCAATTGCTTTTTCTTTTTCCATAGAGGAGTTTGACTTCATTTTGAGTCTGGAGGACAAAGAGCCACTGTGAAGACTGGGTTCGTGACGCTGTGAAACCATTCACTGTTTAGAATAATAAATGAGTTTATTTTGACCAGAGATTTCTTCTGGGCTCTTGCTTTAGCAGGAATAAATTAAACTGTTGTATGTAAGAAGGATGCATTCACAACATATTGACAACATGACGCCACACGCTCAAGATCTGCTTGATGACTACCTTTGGTTTTAGCTGTCAAGTTGTCAACATGACGTGCTAAATCTTAAATGTACACGTGATAAATGAAAGAAAAAAGAATGCAGTGCTTTGCTACTAATTGTGAACACTATGACAGATGGATAAGGTCCAAGGGTATCATATTTGCCAGGTCAAGAAAAGCTTTAATAAAAAAAATAGTGAGGTCAGTTATGCTAGCTTGACTTTGACAACCTTACCACGAAGATGTGCTGTGGAATTCGGTGAGTACCGAGTGCATGTATTTTGAATAAAATTATTGAAATATATATTTTTTTTAATGACATTCTACTGACTGACTTAGTGTTGCATCACACTTTACACACAGAAGTTTATGACACAGTGCCGGATGCATATTAAGGTTCTGATTGGACAAATATTGTGCCTTGACGCTAACCGCGTAGGAACCTTATACGTTTGACTTTCTGCTAAACACAAATTAGAATTTTGTTACCAACCAATACAAAAATCACTTTATGTTGTTCATAAGGTGAAAGTAAAAATTGTGCACAATGCTGATCTAAATTATGCGACTGGTGTTTGCACGACAGGAAGTGATGATGAAAAATGCAGCAACGACTTCACCGAGTTGAACGCGATTACATCAGGGAAGGCGACTCTTTCTTTTCTTTTTTTTTTTCTTTTTTTGGTGAGTTATGCATTTTTAAAGAGAGAAAAAGGAGACACATCTGTGGAATTTATGGTTATTCTTTTATATTAAGAAAATGTGAAACATTTATTCTGCCTTTATCTTAGCAAAGAGATGCATTTCTGTTTTCTCAGGCAGAGACACTAACTATGTGTTATAATGTTGAAATAGAGAGGTTTTACTCCTTGGACGCTTAAAAAATATGGAAGTTCAGAACAATTAAAAAAACATGAGTTTAATTTGTAGTATAGTTATGTTTTGCGCTACCCGAGTGCTAACATTTGCAGATAGGAATTCCTCAAAAAGAATTAGCAACTGTTAGCACTGGTGCCTTACAGGAAGAAGTTTTATCCAGAGACGTTGCTGCAGATTTCTAACCCTTTACAGGTTAGATTAAAATCTGAGATTGTTTAGATTTTAATAAAATTGTGTTTTTAACTGGGGATCAGAGAGAGAGCCATAGTGCAGCTTTCTGTTGCGTGGCAATATCTGATCTCATGTGAAAGAATGCCTGATCTTGGGCACATCTGCTCCTCATCAGGCTTGCCACAGTTCATAACAAGACAATTCAAAGCGGAGCTAAGTCTCTCTGGTGCGATGTTCTGTCGGAGCACGGCTCCTCCTCTGCATTATCCAGCAGCCCCTTTTGTCTCCCTGCATTAAGATTTAATAACCTGAATGTCAGCGTGCAGATCAGCAGTAATACCAGCCGACGCTATGATAACGCCAACACGCCATTGTGGTGTTTGCGGTACGTCCAGAAATCCTTCCCCAAATCTGTTTAACAGAAACACAAGGCACTTTCACTCGTCTACATACAGCGGCCGCACGGCCTTGGGCCTGACAAGCGGGCTGCATAAATATTCTATACCCTTGATGTGAGGCTTCATTTTCACTAACCACTTTGCAAAGACATTTAACCAGTTACACTAGTTGTAATACTCTGCTGTACAAGCTCAAAAGGACAAAGTAGCTGAGTTTGCCAACTAGTGCAACTTTTATCTGCTAGCTTACCAACATCTAGCAAAGGCCTGCTAGATGGACGAAGCGGCACACAATGCAATGGTATGACAATTACCACAAGTCTAGTGAGACAGTTGGCATTCAGGGCCTTCACATTAACTATCCATCCATTCATTGTATGTAGCTGTTTGTCCTTGTTGGGTCTGGGGTTTAACTTCAGCTTTCATTGGGTGAGAAGTGGGGAACATGTTGTGTACTCTAACATATTACTAGACTTGGATTAAAGTGGTTGACAAATAGACCCTAAAATCCAGTGATTTGGTGGATGGGCTTGTCAAAGTTTATTTTAGCTGCATTATTAAAGCTGTTGAACAACAGCTTTAATAATGCTTTAATAAACCCAACTAGTTAACTAGTGAAGATTTAGGAACCTACTTACACATTGTCAATTTATATTAAAAAGTCTATGTTGTAATTTCTAAGAAAAAACGCAAACTTACTATCTTTGGACTTCCTTTCTCCTTTAAATGTTCTCTGCAAACCCTCAAGATGGCTGAGTAACAATCACAGCAGAATTAAAATTTTTGACCAACCAGTCTTCCACAAACAACCACACCAAGTTCAGAGTCACTTAAAACCAACGTCTTTCCCATTTCTGATGCTCCCAACTTAAGCAGGTCGATGGGTGTAACTAGTAAGTAGCCAGTGAGCATAATTCATCACAAAGCCTACTAGTTGGGATTATGTTAGCCTGATAAAAACAATGCCCTTGTTCTACGCTTTACTTCATACAAAGGCAAGGCTGTTTGCTTGCTGGAGGTGTGAACTTTGTTGGAGTTTAAAATTTTATCCAATTGCTAAAGTTTTGCTGTGATGTAACGCATCTATTTGACGCTATGAAACTTACCAGAAACTACCTGCACTGCAAACAACCATCCCTCACTGCGGAGATTTAAGATAGCTGTTAATATTAATTCAATATTAGAAAGCGCAGCCATCCTGCACCGAATGGCTTTGTTTCATTTCTACCTCTGCCAAAATGAAACCATGGCAGACTACAATTCTGAAACGGCACCGAAAAATTTATGTCATTGTTCACAATTCCTCTTTCTGTTCGCTGAATGGCCCGGTGGAAATTCTACCAGGCAAATTGAGCTCAGTGGGAGAAAGCCCAGACAAAGCACCGAGTGTAGATGAGAATCGAGCCGAATCGTAGGGCTAGACTTTTGTGCTACTACATAGACTCTAGCTTAGCATTAGGACTTCTGTTCCTACTAGCTGGACACCAATCCACCAGTTAGCAAAGTGTTGTGTCTAAACTGGTACAGAAGTGGTATTATAAATGTAAAACTAGTGGAATGTAGTCGGAAATTAAAAGCGATGGCCATCAGTGGTATTTTTACAACCCGTAGCTAATGTTTCTGTTGTCTCAAGCTTTGAATGCTACTTTCATTTTGCATTCAGAATTGTGGCAGATTAATAAATCCACTTAATTATGGACAAACACACAAGAGCTCTCCATTTGGCATCAATTTATTGGACGCTTGGGAATGAGGAATAATCGATAAGCATTTTGCAAAAGATAGATAGTTCTACTGTAATTTTTCTCTGGTTAAAAGACTAAAATCATGTTAGAGGCAGGAAGATTTTCATTAGCTTAATACACATAGGCACAACTTTCAAGTCTCTAATGAGGAGGATACAGATGACTCCGTACAGTCGGACCCTAATACAAACACTTCTCCGAAACATCACTGGAATGCTGAGGTAAAAGCACATGGACATGACAAGGTCAATCTGTAGCTCTGTGTCCGGGTTAAATCAACCTATACAAGCTGGAACAGGTTAACAGGTTTGACTGGTCTTATTTACAGATTAAAAAAAAAAAAAAAACAGGAAGTGGGATAATACTTCAAAGCTCTCGCCCAAACAGGACCAAGAGGTTCCAGTTTCTGATGCATTTTGTGCAACAAAAAAAAGAAAAAGGAAAACGTGTTCAACAAGATCAAGCAGTGCAAAAGTCGATGCTCTTTTTTTTTTTTCTCTTATTGTTAGACCTTATAGGAATTCATTCATTCGACGTGGAATGTCAGAGATTCACTTGGAAGAAAATGGGTATTTGACAAAGAAAAAGGGAAATCAATATGTCCAAAAAGCATTAGAATGTAATGAAGAAAGCGTAAAAATGTAAAGGAATTTTACGTGATCTTACACAGCAGACACTGCGACAGGTGATTAGTTTGATTCCTGTACAGAAAATAATAAGCATGTGTGAGGAAGGAGCCTGAAGCCACCCTGAACGCCTCATGCAAACTGTTTTTTTTCTCTTCTTTTTTTTAAAAGTTCACGCACGGTATTAGTGTGCATCGTGTTGTGTTTTTTTCTTCCCTCCTTCCTCCCTTTTCACTCGTTTCTTTTGTTTGTTTTTTTTACCAGCACAGCCACGAGTAAAACAGCTGCCTCGCCAGATGTTTGCACAGTTGTCAGGTGATCATCCGTCCGGTGCAGATTTGCCGGCGAGCGGAAGATGGGCGGAGCTACCCGCTCTCCTCCTTGGCGGCCTGCTCCAGGGCGCTCTCTGAAGCGGCCGAGCCCTCGAACCTCTGGGAGGCGATGGCGGCCTGATGGGACATGCTTTTCCTCACCACGTCTCCTTTTCTCCACAGTGTGATTTCCTGTTAGGGTGGAGATAATAAAAGGTGACTCTTTTTTTTTTTTTTTTTTTTTCCCCCCTGAACAGTTTGTAGTTTGTAAAGACTTCTTTTTTTATATAAAGCTGAATGGAAAAACCTCCCCCAAAAATATCATTATTAAATTCTATTATTTTATCAGCTATAACAAATACTGAATGAATAAACAGAAAATTTGGGTTTTCTCACATTATTAAATTTTATTTAATAATGTGTATTAAGTAAATATAGTATTTATAAAATGTAGGTATTTCATAAATATACGATGCTGAATAAAAAACATAAAAGTTTCTTACTTCTACCTACTCCTTTTCAAGCATGTTAAGATTATTGTGGTACAACAATATCTGTTTTCTGCATTTCTTGTTCATGTGTGTGATTTTTTACTTCTAATGTGTTCAAAATACAAATAAATAAAAATAGTAAAAAAAATAAGAGTAAAAGATGAAAAAATAAAATGTGTGAAACACTTAATCCCCCATGAACAGATTTGTTCATACTGTCTGGTTACTCTTGAAGGAAGGCATTAACTAACAGCAGCTTTCAACATAAATAAAAGTCAGCCATGCTTATTGGAATCGGGCTTTTTTATCCTCCATCAAGTTACAATTTTTCTCTCTGCTTTTCTGTCCTCACATTTTCACCTTTGAAGCACAGAAGTAATTGTTGAGAAGTTGACACTAATCCGCGCTACTAAGGAGAAACTTTAGCTTGTTGGGTGTTTATATTTCAAAACAGAACCGTATAAAGAACATTTTGCGTCCCACACCGGACTCTGAACTGTTTCTCTTTCCCTTTCTTGTATGGCACCGCCATCTTTATTTCTGTATCAACTGGCTCAGCTTAATGATGACTAGTGGCGCCCTCTTCTGGATTTAGAGCAAACTACAACACTAAAGGGATGTTATTAGATAATTGATGGCACTCATTTTAATCTAACACAGCATTAAATCGACAATCGCAAAAGTTGCATTTTTGTCTCATTTTTCCAAATCAGCTTTGTTCATTTTGTGTAATTTCATTTAGTATTTTTGTTCCAAAGTAAACAGCAAGTCTACGTGAGTAAAGAGCATGTTCTCCGACACAACCCAGGTTTTTTTTATAACTCCAGACTGAATGTAGAGAACATCCAGATCTATCTTTGTCAAGGTGTGAGCTAATGCTCTGAGATCTGATATTGTTATATCTAACACTGTAGGTTTCAGGAATAGAAAGTATTTGACAATTTATCTGGTTACAGTGCAACACAGTGGTAAACATGGACTGCCACAGTTTGATTTTTAGCTAAATTATGGCGTTTTACTTTAGTCAAAAAAAGTTCAACATCTGTTTGGTCCAATTCCCATGATATGAAGCAGGGGTCTATCACCTGTAGCTCTTTGGAACTGCATTTAATTCATTAAATTTCCACAACTGGAAAGTACCTGTCATTTTTATGTAGATCTATCTATTAATAATAGGCAGAAAACTATGTGCAAATATCAACATCCCATATAAGAAAATGTTAGTCATCTCTAAGAGTTTTCTATTTTTCAAACCTAAAGATAGGAATAAAAACTTTTTTTTAAATAACAGGCTTCCTGTAGTAGATATTTATGAAAAAAAAATAATATGTCACGCCACATAATATTTGTTGCTCTAAAATGGTTTAACTTCACTGAATTGGGTTCAGAAATGCCTCTTTTGATAGTAAAGGTTGCAGACCTTTTTTTGGTCTCAGGGCTGCATAAATGAACTGCAACATTTAACACACCAGGAGATTAGTTTTCATATGGAATCTAAAAAAAGCATCAGAAGCTCAGAGATTAATAGCGATCGCTGCTCGGTCAGCAGCCAAAATGGCATCTTTCAAGAGCTGGGAAACACAACAACAACAACAACAAAAGAGCACTGTAATAAAAGCACATTCAAAAACTGAGATTTCATTGGGAATATTCCCACTTTACTTTCCTGGCCACATTTTCCCCTGACCCACAGAGAGACGGCTAACCTTTATTGTGATGCAGTTTCATGCATTATGCATCAGAACGCTGGCGGCCATTATTTAAGTAAGAGCCGGAGCTTCCTCAGCAAAGACTGCATGGGAATGACCACTAAAAGCCACAGACAGAGAGGAAGAGAGAGAGAGAGAAAAAAAGAGAGCGCGGAGCTGCGACAGCAACACGCAGCAGCCGTGCCGTATCGACGTGTTGTGGTCTAACATCGTTCCTGTATGTTTTACTTTTGCAGTAGTCCAGACTCGCTGCTCAAATCTAAAGTTTCACCTATAAATAATGGCGCAGATTTCAAATGGAACATGAGCACAACTCTGGATGGATAAACAAATCAACACACCACAGAAGGGATTAGGGATTAACAGACGGACGAATGGATGGGTTGGTCAAAAGATGAAAGAAGTGCATGGAAGAACTGATGGATTATTAGAACAGTTACACAATGGTACGAGAAAAAAAAAGGAAATAAAATCATTTTCTATGCTCCAGCACTACAGAAACAAAATCTTACCAAGCATTTTTGGTCTAGTTTGTGGAGCAAATATCTTATTACACTGGAAATAATAATTCCTTAATATAGATGAAAAAGTTCTAGTTCCAGCAGCAGATTATTTCACTAATCAGACATTTATTTTTCCTTCGTCATGAGTGAAATAATCTCACGGTGAACTTTGTACTTTTTTTTTAATACATTTTAAGGAATTATTGACTAAAAACAAAATCTGCTTTAACCCCCAAAAATGTGAATCTGGTCATTTACTAATCTAAAACTCTGAAATTAACTTACTTCTGTGAAGGTTGACATCAAAGTGAGGTTTGAGCCTGACTAGATTATCTCATGTAAACATAAAAGTGTAAAAGACGATAGAAATGCCTCTTTTTACACAGATTTCTTAAACATTTTGGCTCAAACTAATTTAAAATGAGAAGAAGAAAAACGGAATTCAAAATTTTAGTTTCCAAACCATGATTTCATGCACTAAATGTGAAAAAAAAGACATTCTCTTATATCTTGCTACAAACTTACTTATAAGTTAGTTTGAATGTACTGAGATATTTGCACTAGAAACTAGACCAAAAAACGCTTGGTAAGATTTTGTGTCTTTGCCGGGAATTTAGCACGTTTATCCCAAACGGCGACCTCGCCCTCCTGATCCCTGCAGCAGATCCGCCTTTTAAAACAACTAATGAGCCTCCAATGTAGCACTTAAACTGTTCCATCAGGCTCTGTTGTTGTTGCACCTGCAGACCGTAACAGGGGCATGCGAGCGCTACAGCGAACCGGCGGTTCGTATCGATCCGTTTGAATGAAAGACTCGCTTTAGTTGACGCGAGTTGAAAAGTTAATGGACTGTGGGGAGATCAATTTTAGAATTCAATCTGTGTCCGAGTGGCGGAACAAGCTGGATTGTTAAGGTCAGTGTTTCTTTATTTTAAGCTCAATGGGAAATAAATGCGTTGTTCGCATCACCAAAAGAGAACTACTGTGAGCTCAGTGTGTTGGTGATCTGGTACTTCCTTTTCTTTTTTTTTTTTGCCTTTAAATGTATAACTCAAGTTAAATGTTATTAATTTTTTTAAACCGAGGCCCTTCACTTCTGTTTTTTGTTTTTCCATACCTGTTGTTTAAAGTAGCGTCTCTCCTCTTCATCGATCAATACCAGATTCAGGTAGTAACGCACGGAGAACTTCTTGTTGATGTCTCGCATGGTCGGAGTCAGATCATAACCGGCCAGAAATAATCGGATAGGAATAGATTCACCTGAAAGATGAACCGCATTTAATCACTTTTGTTTTTGCTCGTTAGAGCTGTAACGCTAAATGAAAGACGCTCACCTCGAACCGGCGCTCCGTCCATGATCTCGTACTTTGCGATCGTGTCGTTTTCGTGGTAGACGCTCGGGCCGGTGCCGGTCGTCTCGCGTTTGATGATGTCGATCTCCATGTGTTTTATTTTAATCCTCACCAGGAGGAAATAGATTTTGCCCACAATCACATCCTTCAGATGGTATCTGTCACAAAACAAAAGATAGAAACCGAAAAAAAAAAAAGAAAAAAAAACTTCAGTAATGAATTAAACTTATTTTAGTTTGATTTTTGGTCAAAGAGCTTTTAAGCTGATACATGAACAACCCAGTTTTTTTTGTTGTTTTTTTTTGTACCTATGGATCGTTTTTTTTTTACAAACAGGGGAAAAAAAGTTGTTTTTCAACTGTTTATATGCTTTGTGGTAAAAGTTTAATGTTTTACGTCTACACTTTGAAATCAGAAGTATACTCTGCTCTAGCACTACAAGCCCATAAAATATTTCCAACCATTTTTGTTGTTACTGTTATTGGTTTTGACAGTTTTTCCCTTGCTTCCTAAAACAGGAAGGTTTTAGGAACCAGCTTTAACTTCCTATCAGCAACTCACTTAAAAGCATTATATTTCATATTCAACCATCGCTTCAAAAGCCTCCAGGAAAAAGACTTTTGAAGCGAGCACATCTTGCTCTGCTGAGGATCTTCACGCAGGGTGGGGTTAGCAAGAGCTAATGCTAGCTTGCATCCTCTCTGTTTTGATATGCCTTGTTAGTTTATATTTTCTTATTCACATGAAGATTTTCAACAACATTCAGCTGTGAAAAAGTAATGTTGTTCTCCTGTTTGAGAGCCAATGCAACACCAACTTATTTTTTTCCATAATCAAGCAACGCTACAAAATGTGTGTTTTTTTGTTGTTTTTTTTTTAAATATGCCTGTAATCAGTAAGCAATAACATCTAAAGATTCAATGGGTGGAGATCTCTTTTTAGAACAAACATCAGCTTTTCTTCGCTTGTCGCAGAAAATCATCCATAACTGTCCATGGCTAATTGTAGGCCTCGCAGTAGTTTATAATCTCAACAAGACTTACTTAGATTTGTTGTACTCAAACTCGATATGGAGGCAGTCTTCGATTCCAACTTCCATCTTGATAGAGGAGTTGAGTTCAGGGTAGGTGCTCAGTGTGTGGACCACAATGTCCATCTCTTTACTTATGTCATTTAATCTTCTTATCACCGTGGCGCGAAGGAAGTACCTGAAAACGTAAACAGATTTTTACATCCAGTCTGTAAATGTGGCATAAAGACAACGTCGTCGGTTAAACGTTGAACTCGGTGTTGCATGCCAAGCAGGTTAAAATGTAGCCCTTACATTCTCTGCACCTGTAAGGCAGCAGAGTGAATGATCAAACGCACCTTAGCTTGACGTTCTGGCCTGTGTAGGACTCGTAGGGTTTCTCCACGTGTGTGAACTCAAAGTCGAAGGTCTGCGACTGGGTTATTTCACCGGGTCTCGCAAGATCCTTCACCAGGGAAACAAATTCATGATGGTTTCCTCTGTCGTAATACAGCTCTGGGCAAATGTGGGGAGAGAAAGGTGACGTTAAAAAAAAAAAAATATATATATATATATATATATATATATATATATATATATATATATATATAAATAAACATAAGGCAATCTACACAAAATTACATTAAAAATAAAAATATGTCTATGAATGTCCGTACGTTACCCTGCACTTAAATGCTTTTTTTTCTTTTTTTTTTACAACTGCTTGTTATTTATTGATAATGTTGCACATAATTACAATTGATCATTAATTCCTTTTGTCTAAAGAAACTTCAACAACTCTAGCTTTAATCTTTATTTTAAAAAATGTAAACATTTTGGAATATGGTAAGATTTTTTTTTAACAGTAGACAAAACTTGTATTTAAATACAAGTAAGTAATATTTACTCAGCTGAAACCGAAACTACTTGGGACTTTATTTTGTACAGAATATATGAGAAATGGATTTGAAGCTAAAGTTAAGATTTATTTGGAGGGTGAAGAATTAAATAAATAATAATAGTAATAATAATAATAAAATGCCCAAATCTTAAATACAATTAGACCAAGCTTAAATTACATTACGTCCAAGTATTTTTGGTACATTACTATCAATTTATTGGGACAAAGAAACATTCCTGTCTCTTTCACTGAAAATATTAAAAGAATACACTTTATTTTACTACTAAATATTCATACAACTACAGCAGTGTTATCCATAGCATGAGGAGGATCACGTCAGCCCAGGTCTTTCCGTTTCCTTACAGCCATGATCCTCTGATACTTTCAGTTTGGAGTGGCGTTGAACACTTTGTTGTTGATTTCCGCCTGGAGATTTGGGACAAGCCTCCCAACTGAGATGTAGCTACCATCAACTTGTTAGCACGATGAAGCACCACTCAGGTGTTTTGCACCATAATATGTAGGACAAACCCCAGAAATAATTACTATCCGCCTCCATGTACTACTTTCCAGTTTCACATTTAGGCTGCAACCTTCCTTCAGTTCAACTGGGAGCCTTAAGAATAATAGTTTGTTTTTTTAATGCATTTGTTACATTTTATGTTTATATAGTCCATTCAAAGGTAGACAACCCCTAAGACAGCGGTGTCTAAAGTTTGGCACAGGGCCCATTTGTTCACCCCCCTTACCTCAAGTCAAAAATGGGTAAAAATGTAGCCAACAAAATAAAAAGCAATTAATGACTCAAAAATGTGGAAATTGTGTGTGTGTGTTTTTTTTTGTTTTTTTTTGTTTTTTAAATAAGGCAACAGCCCAAAAGGATTTTTCTGTTTTGGATCGCCAATTATATACAGATTTTATTTTAAAAATTAATTTAGTGTTGAGCAGGTAAAAAGTTACACAAAACCCCAAAACAAAACAATTTTGCATTTTTAATTTCATGAATTTTGTGGCCCACAGCAAGTTTAACTTCTTGTCTGGACACCACTGCACTAACATTTTTCCAGATTGCAACCACAAACTTCTATAAATTTTATGGAAATCGTAGTGAACAACTGTAAAATTGTTTACACGTGAATATCTGAGTTTGATTTACACTTTAAGATGGCACTAAACTGAATGCACCAATTGCCTTCAGAAGTTCCTAATTTGTAAATAGTGTTTATCTATGTGTAATTTGGTCTCGGTATAAATCCAGCTGTTCTGTGAAGTCATTATTTGTTTGATGAAGAACATTAGTGAACAAACTGCATCATGATGACCAAAGATTTTGGTTGCAAAACAACATTTTATCTTGTAAAGAACTGTTCAATCAAATATCTAAACATGTACAGAGAGTAGGACAACTGCAAATACCTGTCAACACATGACCGCCCACCTAACCGGTCAAGCAGGGGAAGGGGAATAATAGTGACTCAGATCTGAACCTTCATAAAGATAGTTACAAAGTCAGCCTTCTATACCCTCCATCCAGGATTAATGGGCTAATATCACCAAAACCAGGAAGACGGAGAACATTACTCCAGTTTTGAAGTCCTTAAACTGGCTCCATGTAAGAAGTCTTGTTTAAGTTTACCAGTAACGATGCAGTAGGCTCGGCATCCGCATCGAGACTGTGCTCTGGTTCTGATGAGATCAAAATTGAACTTTTTGGCCAATATACAAAACACTATGTGTCATGGAAAACTAACGCAGCACATCACGCTAAATATAAACTATGCAATGAAGTAGTGACAGCACTGTGTTCTGCAGATGATTTTCTTCAGTGGAGCTGGCCAGAGAGACAATAGATGGAGTTAACTACAAGGTAACCCCGAGTAAAAATATATTTAAAAAAACTGGTTAGAGGCTGCCAAAGATGTGAGACTAGAGAGGAGGTTAACCTTTCAGGACAGTGATCCTAAATATACAACCAGGGCTGCAATTAAGTGGTTTAGAATAATTACTCTAAACCACTTAGTTGTGGTTTAGAGTAATTAAACCACCTAAATCCAGATTATAATCTGTCAATTTGAAACTTTAAAATTGATATACACAAATACTGTCCAACTAATCTGTCAGAGCTTGAACAATTTTTCAAAGAATTCAACAATATTTCACTGGGTTGATTTGGAAAGCTCACAGATGCACACAAAGCTGGTAAATCAAATAAAACCAGCTTGAGATTGTAATGTAAAGAAATATCTGGACAAAAAAAAACCTCCCTAAAATTGACACTGGATATGCTTTTCTAGTAAAAAAAAAAAACCCAACAACAACAGTCTATTGCAATAGACAAGCTTTCCTAAACTACAAATCTTTGCATTTCACAAATATTCTTATGAAGTACACCCAGTGCTTTATGAAGAATAATGCTTAAATTCCGGATCAAAGGAATAACTTGTGATCATTTGTTGCTTTATATGACTAATACTTCCCACCCACCTATTTGGCCGACAAATTCGATTTTGATGCCGTGATGCTCCAGCCTCTTCCCGGGGTTCTTCAGCGTCACATTCACCTTTCCACTGACTGTCTCTCCGTCGTAGAAAAGAAAGTATTTGTCTTTCTTCCCATCTTCGGTCTTGTGTTCAACCTTTTTTCTCGTTTCGGCGTCATTGAGGACTACATCGATTTCTGCACTTTGTCCAAAACTAAAGAAACTCATTATAACGACCAGGATGCTCCAACTCTTATCTCATTAAAGTAGTTGTTATCGCAGCGCAGGGACTTGTTAGCAGGCTGAACCAAGAGGACCCCGTTTTTCAACGATGTTTCGAAGCAGAAAACAAACACACATGAAGGCCTGCAGGGTGTACGAGCTCACTTCCCCTTTTGAGCCCGAATAAAGCACTTAGTCGTGAAGAAACGAATAAATATTGTACAAAAAGAAAAGTCTACTTTGGCTACAGGTCCATACCTACGACAAACTAGCAATATGACGGTAAAAGCAGAACGCACATGAATATGTGTGTTAGCAAATTAGCCGTTTCCGTTTTTTCTCTTCTACGTCGGACTCACTGCAACCATTTAACTGCCTTCAACAAACAGTCTAAGGTGGACTCGGTTATCGCGGCGTAATTTACTCTTACATGTTTGTGGTCTGACAGATAAGACAGAGGATGTTGTCAAACGAGTAAGATGTAACGTTAGCTCATGCTACTTGCGTTGCGTCGACTACTTCCGGGTAGAGGTTTTCAAAATAAAACCGGAAAGAAGCAAATGCGGTGGTAGACCTTTAAAACTCAAACACCACAAGGTGTATATCGATTGATATTAGAAAACGCAATATTTTTAGTTTCCAATAAACTGTATCCCGTTTTTTCATTAGTTGAACATCATTAATTATCATTAATAATAGAAATGAAATGACTGTCCAGCGACTGCTAATTTATCGGCGACTTAAGTTTTCAATATCACCATTTTGCAGATATTTTAAAATAGCACTTTTTAATACGCAGTGCTATCTCATGTAAAAAAAGAAAAAAAACGGCGTTGACTCTGTTTTATTTGTTTAAAGATGTAGCTTATTTATACGTCAGCAATTTTTAGTCAAAAGTTGACATTTCCAAGTTTGAAGCAGTTCCTGGAAATCGAATCAATTTTAGGTTTCTCACCAGTCCCTACCTCAATATAGCCAATATGGCTGCCATAATACAAAGAGGTTGTTCTTGACAATGGTAATTATGTCTTAGCAAGAAATATATAGAACAAAGTGAAATAAAATAATACCCAAACTTTATTAGAGATGAAATAAAAACTACTTATTTGCACATCTGAGAATTTTGGTCACAAAACTTATTTTTATGAGTATATTTCAACAGAATTTTAATGTAAATCTAGCTTGTATTTTTTAATTGTAGTTAGGTTGGTCACTGAATACGATGACCAAATTCCACTAGCTTTTGAAGTGGGAATTGGAGCCTTATTAACTTGAGATTGACATCAGTTTCAGGGTAAGTCAACCCAGTGATACTTATAGTTTAAATAGCCAAAGGTGAAGACCTTTCCTGCTGAATGTTTTGTTCTGATGTTATCTTGTTTTATTATAAGCTTACTTAAACACAGACATTTGTGTTTGCAAATTTTAAAAAATGCAGAAAAGGAGTAATTTTATCAGCCGAAACTTTGGTTCCTACAAAAAAAATCCTTCCTCCATAAATAATTTTCGCAATAGATTCCCTCTCTGGAGCAAACGCTTTCACCAAACTACGTTCTCTACCAGATCTAATAAATCATTCACAAAATGACACCCATTTACTTGTGCAGTTGAAATGTATTTAATAGTAACAAAATAACAACATGTAACATTAATATCAAATGAACAGCAGATGTTTCATAACAGTTCCTGAGTTGTTACACAAAAACATTTGCACACGTCTGCATAGACATAACTGTTGTTACCGACAGACGCAAACACTGCGAAAACACACTTAGTAAATACAATGAAATTTATTTCCGACAAACAGGGTTATTTCGATATATACAATAAGTTATGGAGTGCAATGTAATAAATCAAAAGATCAAAATAGTATGTGTATAAGTACATATTATACTGAATCACAACTGGACAATATGTCCAATACTCACATAAAAAACAAAACAAAAAAAAAACAACTTGTAAAGCACAAAAAGGTCACTTATACACAGAAACAGCACTCCAAAAATCCCAACTCTAACACTTTAATGGTACATATAGACTTTGCAGCATAGTGTGGCATACAGTTTTCAAATGTATCGTTTATTTTTGTACTTGTTAACGTTTGTGAATATGTTTTTATTTATTTTTATTTTTTTTTAAAAAAAGGGCTGATACAGTGTGCCTTATGAGTTGGATCTGGATCAGCCTTTAGCAGTCCGCTACTTTAAGCCTGCGTATCTACAGTATATACAACGTTTGTTCGTAAGTGAAACGATTTGTAGGTGAAACAATTAAGGATGGCTTTTGATCTAATGTAAAAGAGTTTTCAAAAACAAGCTTGCTCAGTAAAAAACTTGAAACATCATATAAAAAAAGGATTATTTGAAAAAAATGGAGAGGGGCGAGGGGAGGATGTAGCTTACAGTAACCTGTGATAACACTGAGGGCCAAATATCAAATTTCACAGCTTTGAAATGCTTTCATTGTACAATACAAAAATGTTGGAAAATGAACTTAAACATGAAACGAGTGGTTTGACAACAACAACAATAATAATAACGATAATAATAATAAAAGAAAAACATAACAGGAAAAACAACAAAATCTGAGGTGTAAAAATATTTGGTGCCACAAATCGAATGAATACTTTGGCAAGTCAGTTGAGTTTATGTGCATCCGAGAGTAAATGTGCCATGTTACATCTTAAACTTTGTTAGCTTGCGCATCATTGTTGCTAGGTATCCTTAAAAGTGTTTGTTTCTGCTTCTCCCTGTGATTGTTGTCAAATGATGAATGAAGACTTGTGCCGAAAATGACCCTGTGAAGAACAGAGAAAGAAGAAAAACATCAGTAAATCACACCGTCGTTCATTATGTTCATATTACTGTAAGTCAACTTAATGGCGCTTAGATGCGGTTTGTAATTTCTGAACTTCCTCTACCTCATCTGCGTCAGCATAGTCAATAGCAGGAGCCTGTGCAGGAGTATTGTAACTATGACAGAAAAAAACAGGGAACGAAATGAAAACGCGACACCTTCGGTGGATTTTACTACATCTTCAGAGCTGCACCGGTTTACTCACTTGTTTCCATTGTAAACGCTTTTGTAACAGCACAAACGTTTCATTAAATAAATCACAAAAATCAAAGTGACAACTGCCATCAGTCCGCCGCAAGACTGGAGGAAAATTCCAAGGACGTCAACGTCACCTGCAACGAGACACGGAGCAAAATCAGATGGCGACTAAAATGGGAAAATCCAAAATGTCAACTTCTCGCCGGAAATTGAATAAACCATAGCTAAGATTTTACAGGTTGCAGAGCTACATGTAGAAATACACCGCTGAGTCAGAAACAACCCATCAGAGAATGCTGCAAGTCAATGATGCAATTCTCTGGGTTTCCTCAGTTAATACACTTTTAAAACCAATTTCGATAATTAACTGAACTTTACTGGATGGCTTCATAACTGAGACCAATTAGAATGTTTGTGTGGTCAGTCTGAATTGACGTTTTGTTTTTTTTCCAAAGTGCCTTGAGATGATGTGTTGTGAGTCGGCGCTATGTTAATAAGCTGAATTGACAGGAATCACTCACAGACATCCATTACTTTCGGAGAACACTGAGCGTTTCCAGCGTCGTTCTTCGCCTGGCAGTAGTACTCGCCTGCATCCTCTTTCCTCACACGTCGAAATTTCTGTGGGGATCGTTTTGAAAACCTTCTCAGTATCTCATTCACAAAGCAAAAAGCAATAACGCGAAGAAGGTGGTTATCTAAATATGATCTTCTGCAACCAGCACAACAGCAGGCACGAGGCCACAGCAAGAATAAAGCTAAAAAGTTTCCCCAAAGAAAACTCTGTGGAAGTCAGGTTAATAATAGATCAATGATGGTATTTCTTTTTGGAGCTTTTTATGCATTTTGGCTGTTCATCTGCACAGAAACTCAGTTTAATAACAGCAAAAACTACTAGTGACCAAAGTAGACATTCCAGGAACCTGTATTTGTGTTTGCGTGTGTACATAGGAAAACTGAGATATGGGGTCCTCTGCAATCTGCAACAAATAATACAACAATATATCGACATGGTCTTGTGTTTTATCGATTTCATATTCTAAAAAGCTCTTTAAAAGTAGTTCAACCTATACGTCATCTGTCCACATAAATGACCCTCTTCACGTCATGTGTAATTCCTAACAGGAAGTCGTGGTGGTTTTGAAACAATCTGATTGGCTGCCAGAGATTTTAGCTTTGCACTACACTGCCCCCTACGGGTTTGGCAGGTTTTCAACGACGTTCAAGCACAGATTTGTGCGAGTTTATGTGGATGAAACTGAAACTGATACCGAGTGTACCATTTAATTTATTTAAACGACGTGGTGGAGATGTTCCTTTTTTTTTTTTTTTTTTTTTTT